TCATTGAGATTAAGCAGTCATTTTTATAGATGGGTGTTAAAAAAATTCAATCCAGATTCATTAATCACAAGATTATGCTTCAATGATATAATTATATCAAAGTTGTGGATTGATAGAGAGTTGTTACTCCATCCTGAAAAATCAATACCAGGAAGAATGACTAGTTGTGCATTTGATTTGATTATACATACTTACAATGAATTTTGTCAGAATAATATTCCATTTGAATTGGTCCATTTAAATTTATTAAAGAAATCAAACAATATAACAACTTTAAAACCATTTTTCGAAGGGTTTTTACCCCAAATTTTTAATCTCAAACCAACTTTTAAATATAATAGCAATATTAGCAGCAGAAAACATAAATTGAAAAAACAACTGCTATTGCAAAACCAGCCTCTTTTTCAACTGCTTGATGTTCATGAGAGGAAAATTGAAGTTGAGGAGAGAACAACATTATGGTTTTCTGAATTGGAAAAAGTTTATCAAGAAGTAACAATGCAATTAAATACAAACACGCAAAATAATCAGCTCACTTTGAATTTTATATTTTGTATGAGAAATTTTTGGAATAGGCTTATAGCAGAAACTGATTACACCAACAAACCTAAATCAAAAAAGCAAAGATTTGGAACATTGGCACAACTTGGAACAGAAAATGGATATGGATTGGGAACCAATAGAAGGAAATGGATCAAAGAATGATAAAAGAAAACAGAGTTCAAAGGTAAGGAATTTGGACAGTGAATTATCAGTATTTTTACTTTTACTATTATTATCTTTAATGCTTAATGGAATATCTTTTTAATATAATTGTACACATGTGAATATTCATATTCATATATAATATATAAATAATATTTATTATTATATATATGTATACTAGTGTTGGTTGCCAAAACTATTTCGATTCAAAACTAAAATTAAATTTATATATGTCAAAACTAAATCAAAAGTCAATAGTCAAAAATCAAAACTAGTTTTGACTTATGGCGAAACCTTTTGACTTTTGCATGGTTGCAAAACTCTCGAGTTTTGGAAACCAACACTAGTCAATAGCTAGCATATACACATTTAAAAATGCACAGTTTCATTAAAATGCATACAACATAATAATAACGATTATCTATTGATTATGCAGGGAGAGTTATCAAAAATACAGATACCTAATCCCGCCTTGGAAACAGTTCTGAGAAAAAATTCATTTGGACATTTATTTGACAAAATTGTATTGTTTTTCATTACTATATGTTTTTCCAATCCTATTTAAGTTGTGAGGATCTAATATATGAATAAAAAAAATACCAAAAAGTTTTTTTTTTACAAACCAAAATTTGTTTCCATTTACTATATTATGAATGAAGTCATTAACAACTGGAAGAGTTTTTTATTATATAGTTTAATAATAATTATATAAATTGGGTGACTAAATTTGATGGTAAATTAATAATTTATTCTAATGCTGAAATTTATTATATATATATATTTTTTCTAACGTGAAATGAGTATTTCTCTATTATTCAACAATATAGCTAATTAATTATAATAAGAAACACAAACAAAACAGGATGAGCAGACAAATAATTAGATCATTTGGATAACATTTTAATTAGCATTAAAATTGATTAAGGGTAGAGTGTAGTCATGTGATTTTATATAATAATTCCCAACCTCTCTCTTTTAAATCACTTGCTTCATACGCAGCTACACCAAAAACTAGTTTTCGTGAGATGAAAATTAACGCAAAATCCATTTCAGCATATATACAGTGCCGGTCACAAGTACACATCCAATTGTTTCAATTTTAAAATTTTGATGATCTTTCCAAAATAAGCAATA